CTGCTTCAGTCGTATTGTGCTGGTTTGGTTAACTGGTGGCTGTAACTGTGTTTGCCTGTGTGTGAAGCACATATTTTTCTTCAAGTCTAGACTTCTAAAACTTTTTTTTTTTTGTAACATTTCTAGAGAAGCCATTTTGATAGAGTCCATCATGGTCTCCAGGGAATTTGTGCAGTGCCACAAAGGACCTATGCTGATCAAGGTAATTAATTGATCAAGCTAAAGCTATAAATAGAAGTTGAACTTTATGTAACATAAGAACAGTGATGGTAATTAATATTCCAAAGGAGATGGTGGTTATGAGATGTGAATTAGGTACAAAGTTCATAGCTTCTGCTGCGTTCATAATCAATAGAGGTTGCACAGATATCTCTTTCAGCCGTATTTTTTCCTTTATGAGCTACTGATTTTATGGTATTTGGTAGGTATTTCATCTATTCCACTAAATGTCAGTTGGAAGTATGCTGGAAAAAATTGTTATAAAAAACCACCCAGACATCTTAAGTTCTTAAAGAATTTACAGCAAGAGGGATGGGTCAAACAGAATTCATAGAATCATAGAATGAGTTGAGCTGGAAGAGACCTTGGAAGATCATGTAGTCCAAGCCTCCTGCAGTGAGCAGGGACATCTTTAACTAGATCAGATTGCTCAGAGCCCCATCAAGCCTGACCTTGAATGCCTCCACTGATGGACCCTCCACCACCTCTCTGGGCAACCTGTTCCAGTGTTTCACCACTCCAGTGTTTTACCACCCTCGTAGTGAACTTCTTCCTGATATCTAGTCTAAATCTGCTCCGCTCTAGTTTAAAACCATTGCCCCTCATCCTGTCATCACGCACACTTGTGACCAGTCCCTCCCCAGCTTTCCTGTAGCCCCCTTCAGGTACTGGAAGGCTGCTGTAAGGTCTCCCTGGAGCTTTTTCCTCTTCAGGCTGAACAAGCCCAACTCTCTCAGCCTGTCTATGAAGGAGAGGTGGTTCAACCCTTTGATCATTTTTGTGGCCTCATCTGGACCTGCTCCCACAAGTCCTTGTGTTGAGGGCTCCAGAGCTGGACACAGCACTCCAGGTGAGGTCTCAGCAGAGCAGAGGGGCAGAATCACCTCTCTCAACCTGCTGGTCACACTTTTGATGCAGCCCAGGATGCAATTGGCCTTCTGGGCTGCGAGTGCACGTTGGTGGCTCATGTCCAGCTCTTTGCCCACCAACACGCTCAAGTGCCTCTGCAGGGCTGCTCTCTACCACCTCATCCCCCAGCCTGTATTGTTAACAAAGATTACTGTGACCTGTGAGCAGAACCTTACACTTGGCCTTGTTGAACCCCATGAGGTTCACATGGGTGCACTTCTCCAGCTTGCCCAGGTCGCTCTGGATGACATCCCACTCCTCTGGCATGTTGACTGCACCACTCAACTTGGTGTCATACAGAAACTCGCTGAGGGTGCACTGGATCCCACTGTCTGTGTCATTGATGAAGATATTGAAGAGCAGTGGTTCCAGTACAGGCACCTGAGGGACACTGTTTGTCACCTGTTTTCATCTGCACGTCGAGCCATTGACCACAGCCCTCTCGGTGCAATTGTCCAACCAATTCTTTATCCACTGAACAGTCCACCCATCAAATCCTTACTTCTCCAATTTAGAGAGGAGGAATTCAGTTTCTCCATTTCATTTTGCATTATTTTCCCTGTAAAATTTAAGACTGGCTGTTTCTCTTGCAGAGTGAATACTTCCATTCAACCCTTCCCTTTGCCCAGAGACTTATTTTCAGATGTGAGGTGTAATTTACCCATCTAACCCTAGTTTATTAAGTTTCATTTATTTTTAACATCTATTCTGCTTTTCTAAAAAAATATATTTTCAAACATGAATTAGTTAAGAAATTGTAAACTGGTATTCTTTCTCAAGTAAATTTTTAATTGGTGGAACAAAAGTAGCTCAGATATTTTGGGTTTTTTTTTTTAGTTGATGCCGATGTCACAGTTATTGGCTCTGGTCCCGGAGGCTATGTTGCTGCTATCAAAGCAGCTCAGCTTGGATTTAAGGTAAGGGGAGACCTCACTCATATAGCAGAATATTCATCCAGGTCAACTTGAAAGGTGTTTGTGTGATACAGAAAAAAAAAAAGGAAATTCTTCTGTCACGTCTTGAGCCACCAGGTGCTGTCTACATGTTGATAATCTTTCTGTACCTTCCTTACCCACATTATGCAGCAGTTGCAGCGGAGGTGTGAGGGTATTGCTGCCAGTACAGTAGCCCTGCTACTGACAAAGCTGCTCAGGGTACCTTGCTTTTGATTGGAAGTGATAATTGAGGTTGGCTTATACTGTTATGGAAGAGAAGATGGGGAAAAGTGCTAAGAAGGAATTTTTCTCCCAACAAAGAAAAGGAAAAGAAAAAAAAAGTTATAGCAACAAAAAGGCCAATGAAAACCCTTCCTCAAAAAAAGAATAAGGGAACTCAACAGAGAACAATATTCAAGTGATATGCCTGAGTAGAGGAATTCCAGTGCCAAGTGACAATTTTAGAGGCAAAAATAGTCACTAGAAATACTTTAGTATCTAATTTACATTTATTTATGCTCATCTTTGTTCTGTCTGTTGTCTTTGAATGTCTTTTTGAAAGAGGCAATTTTGATGTGAACTAATGACATGTCATTTTACTGAATATTGAGTTGTACATGCACTTCAGATTTTCTGAACTTAGGAAAATATGGAGAGTGACTT